TGGGGGGTTTTTTCGACTTAAAAAAAAAAACCCTTTTTGAATTTAAAGCTGTCTTTTTTTTTTTTTTTTTTTTTTTTCATTTTTCTTTCAGCTTGAATATTCGTCACACTGATGTGCTGACAGTGTTTGATGGACATGACGTCATGTCTCACGTGATCGGCCAGTACATGGGCTCTAAAGAGCGCTTCCAGATTGTGTCTGGGGGGTCAGAGGTCACCATTCAGTTCCAGAGCGACCCTGATGATTCCAGCTTCATCCTCAGCCAGGGGTTTCTTATTCATTATCGTGGTGAGTGAACTGGAAATCCAGTTTGCTTTACCATATGAGGCTTGTTTAGAATTGTTTTACAGATCAGTAAAAAAAAATATTTGCTTACACCAAGTCTCTCTCTGTCTCTCTCTCTCTCTCTCTCTCTCCCTCTCTCTCTGTTTCTCTCTCTCTCTCTCTCTCTCTGTCTCTCTCTCTGTCTCTCTCTCTGCAGAAGTTGAACCGAACGACACATGCCCCACTCTTCCTCAAATCGAGTTTGGCTGGATCAGCTCATCCCACTCCTCTCCTGTGAGAGGCAGCGTCCTGACCTATCAGTGCCAGCCAGGTTATGACATCAGCGGCTCAGACATCATCACCTGCCAGTGGGACCTGTCCTGGAGCAGCGCCCCACCCACATGTGTTAAAGGTAATAGGATAATAGAAATTAGCTGGGGGTTTTTTTTTATTTTGAAAAAAACATGCTGTGTAACCAGACGTGACTGAGAATAGGATGCTACACCTCCTAAGGTTTCTTGAGCAGATTTTTAAAAAATATTTTTCGATAGTTTTGTCACTTGTGTCTGACTTTACCCCTCACAGTGCAACAGTGTCCTGATCCAGGAGAGGTGGTGAACGGGGCGCGCTCTGTGCGTCCCGAAGCCGGGTTTGCTTTGGGGACAGTCGTGCGCTTCTCTTGTAATCAGGGTTATCAACTCGAAGGGCCTAGTCAAATCTCCTGCTACGGCCGTGACACTGGTACCCCTAAATGGAGCGATCGCAGCCCGAAGTGTGTCTGTAAGGTCTCTTTTTGTCTCCTCCCCAACATTGCTTGTCTTTCATGATGGCTGCTGATGCCAGTCTGACAGTAAAAGTCTTTTTGTATGTTATATGCAGTGAAATATGACCCATGCCCAAACCCTGGAGTCCCTGACAACGGCTACCAAACTTTATACAAACACAGCTACCAAGCCGGGGAAACTCTGCGCTTCTTCTGCTATGAGGGCTATGAACTCATTGGAGAGGTCATTATCACATGTGTTCCTGGACACCCATCTCAGTGGAACAGCCCGCCACCCTTTTGCAAAGGTAAAGGTTGTATTTCTTTTTGCTGCTTGCGTCTTTTCATGCCACACGTCTTCTACATCTAGTTCTTCTTTTCTATAAAAAAAAGGCCTTTTTTTCTTCTTTTCACAGATGTTATCATATAAAACACGTGTTGCACAAGTGTGCTACACAGATAAACTTAACTTGACTTGATAAACAGGCTCCATGAGTCTGCTACTTTGGAATCTCAGTTTCCAGGATAAGGATATGTGGCACTTTGGAAAAAATACTTAAGATCTCTATTTTACATGGAAAGTCAAACAAAAACACTAGTGACCTTTGTTTTAAAGAATTTCTGTTTTCTATAAATGACTTTTGTTCAAGCTTGACTAAGGTAGGTGCTTAATATCTTCAGAATAAACGCTACGAACCAACACCAATGTCTGGGGAATGGCTATATTTTCTTCCATAGATAGCCTTCCAGGAAATCAGTATAAATGTCGTTCAGGAAACAACTGATAGATTTCATTATTGTTTCAATGGCATCACGGGTGGTGAGCCATATCTCCCATTTTGTAAACTACCACCTATCACTGATCTGGATCAAATAATAGATAAAAACAGCATCATTCTTTTACTCAGTTTGGGTCATGATTAGTTTTAATTTTAGAACCAAGATTTTTGACTTCATGGCGTGTTGGTTATAAATGTAATTTACTCTTGCATGTCACTGCTTTAGTCATGAAACACACCTGAATGAAAGCAAACTGATGAGATCTTGTTTTATTGTTCTCAGTGGCATACGAGGAGCTTTTGGACGACCACAAGTCAGAAGGTGATTTCTCATCTCAAGCATATTTTAAATCAATTCCTACATCATTAAGAGCTGCTGTCTGTGGGATCTAAATGTGCTGCTTTAGGCGTATTTTTATCACAAAGTGAAGGACACTTTGCATTAAGGAAGACAGAAAATCATCACAATTGACGTTTGACTGTTTTGCAGTGTCCCAGTCTTTCGAGCCGTCCCGTCAGATCCTGAGTGAAAACATCGCCTTGGCGATTATTCTGCCCATCATTCTGGTCATCCTCCTGATTGGAGGCATTTACATGTACTATACAAAGTAAGTTATGCTGTTAATAGGCCATGTTATTAAAGCAGAGCATAAATTAACCCTTTCATGCGTAGTGGTCACTACGCTGGACAGCTGTCTAAAAGCTTCTTGTGGATTTTTGTGTTATAAATGCACTGAAGTGGACACTAATGCATCATAAAATACACAATCAAC